TAATAAAATATATATATATATATACATATATTATGAACAATATAGCGTTATTGAAGAACTCCAAGAGTCTATTGAGAGTCCATAGCATTCTCCCCCACCCAGAAATTCATTGGAAATTAATTGATTTATAGGAAAAACGCATATTCGACATGATATTAATAAGAATAAGGGAAGATCACTATCTAAGGTAGATTATTTTAATACTGCTAAATGGTGACATTTTAGCTCGTATGCTTAAAATTTTGAAACAACCTATTAATTCGTTTTTTTTAATTTGTCAAAGACATGATAAAATAAATATTTTTCAGCCAATTACTTATTTCCTGTTTTTAATTGCATCACATGAAAATGTCCTTTTTCTAACATTCTGTTGTTGCCCTTGAAAATCATAATTTTTTACTTGTGCTAAAACTTTTTATATGCAGCATAATAATGTGTATTTTTTTTTCAACCTATGAAGTAATAATATTGATTATTTGCAGAATTACTCGACTTGTTGAGGCTGACATAGCTGGAAAGTGGTTCAAATCTGATTTGGCGATTTCAAATCTTTGCACCAGTTACTCTGATACAACTCCAAAGCCTTTGGGACTGCAACATCTGTACGGAGTGCTAGTGGTTTGGCTTGTTGGCATGCTTTTTGGAGCAGCAATATTCCTTGTGGAAATACTAACAAAACGTGCGACATATTTCAAGGTTTTTCCGTATAAGAGATAAACGGAAAAAAATTGTTTAACAACTAAAAAAACTTTACGTCTCAAAGTGAAAGATTTATTGTTAAAATGTTTAGACACAAATGATTTGCGAGTGATTTTCATTATACTGAAGAAAGCAACAGGCAGTGCAAAAATATTCAAGGGTTAATTGCGAGATAAAGCCACGAATTTTCTACTGAAAGATGAGCCGCATAAAAATGTAGTAACAAACGTAACAGCAAGTAAAACAGATGTGATTAATTCCTCAAATTTCATTTATTTAAATTCTAGAAATACCACGATAGATGTTTGGTGACAAAGACCATTAGTTCAAAATTATTTTGAACTGAGAAACAAAAACTAAATAATGTAAGATTCTTATTGCTTTGATACCTCAATAGCATCACTTCTTTAAGATCAACTAAAGTCGAACATTAACAACGATCCACAACTGGTTATAAATTTAACAGTTCATTTTTTTTAAGTATATATTTTCTGGGATATCCACTACTACGCTTTCTGCAAAATATTTTATTGAATTGTAGACAATTAAAAATTAAAGTTTACATAATCTTTTGAAATTTTACCAACATTTTAGATGCCTCACCACGAAAGGATTGGAAAAAAGTGGCTATTTTATATAAGCCTTTGAATCATTTACAAGTAGTAGAGTAAGAAATAACTTTAAATCAAATTTATACAAGAAAGAATAATGCATTAAAGCAAAAGTTTAGCTATTTTCCCAAAAATTTTCCTGAAAAGCGTAGAAAGTTTGCAGGCCTGCATTTGATTTAAAGTTATGATTTTAGGGTGTTATAACAATTATAATGTAACAATAAAAAATATATAAATAAATAATTACGTTATTTATTGAACACAAGTCTATAGATCCAAAATAAAATATCATTTTTATTGACATTTTGGAACTCAGTCAACATATCTCTTTAGTGTGACTTCTTACATAACTCCTCAGTAGTTAGAAGTTTTTAATGTGACATAAATATCCTGATTCTATCTGAAAAAAACTTCCTTTATAAAATTATTATACATGGGAATATTTAATAACTTTATCTGTAATTGCTTTATTTTAAAATAAAATATGCAAAACAATATTTTATGTGTTCTTAGTTCATTTTAAAACTGACACGATTAGTGATTTGGTTACAATTATTATTCCTTTAGTAATGTTTCCATCATAGAACTAAATATTTTGTTAAACAGGTCGTAAGTGGTTAGGATACGATTAAATTTAGAGTGATTAACACTTTTTCATGTGAGTGATATTTGACAAGAAAATAGAGAAGTTCAGGTTTTCTGAAAAATACAATTATAGTATATGGGATTATAAGTTTTTAAAAAAGATTAGTTGCAAGCCATCGGAATTGTATGCCTTAAATTTACGAAGAAAAAGAGCAACACTGTCTTCTGGGGTTGGCGACCAAAACATTCCTCCTCAAACCCAAAATTCAGCTTTATACTAAATAGTTTAGATGACATGTGGATATAGCAAAATCTTGAATTCCAAACCTAAAGAACTCAAATGACTCTTGACTTGACATTAAGATAAAAACGTGCATAAAAGTCAATGTATATTAGCAGAACATTTATTTCAATGGGAATTAAGAAATATCTGTGTAGTTTTGAGTTACTTATTAACTTTTCTAGTCGTCCTTTTTACCGGATATTGCATTCAATTCTCACATGCACAAATTGTGTTTGTTTGTTTTTCCTTTTGTACCCAAATGATCAATAAAACGCATTTTTATTTCTGCCAAACAAATGTCATTTTTATCTCATACAGCTTACTACGTCTGTCGATAATGTATCAATCAATCAAACAATTCTCCACGTGCAAGGTCAACCCACAACCTCAATATCATTAAATTCTTCTGAACACGTGTATTTCCCTATACTTTCGTAAGAAAGAAAAATTACGTTACTGGATTCATGACATTGAACAACTAATTACGTACCCGCAATACTAAAAGGAATAAACGATTCCTGAACTGATTGTAATCAGCTCCACGTTTTTACTCATCTTTTTTCAATCAACTCGATATTTATGCATGAATTTCCCTGTCATAGGGTGGAGTGTTATGTATTTGGCAATTCTATTAATGGAAAGCTATAAATTTCTCACAAAAATTAGATAATCCATGTCTCTTTCTAATCTATAATTACATCGCATGAAAACATCCTGTATGTTAATCAATGTCAGAGTATTACTGTTATTGATATTGATATTATTGATATTATATATTGATATTATTGATATTATATATTGATATTATTGATATTATATATTAATATTATTATTGATTTTATATATTGATATTACTTATATTATATATTGATATTATAATATTGATATTATATATTGATACTATTGATATTATATATTGATATTATTGATACTATATATTGATATTACTTATATTATATATTGGCATTATTGATATTATATATTGATATTATTGATATTATACATTGATATTTATATATTATTGATATTATAAGTATTATTTTTTTGTAAGAGAGAAAACTCAGGATCGTTAAGAGATAAAAAATAAGGTTATAGTTGAGCTTTTTTTTTTAAATTTCTATTGTAAGAAAAACGCTAAGCAAAATCACTCTACTTTTTTTTTTCATTTGCAACTGCTGTTAGTACTTTCCATCTGAGCCACGATGGCTCAGGGGATAGAGCGTTCGCCTTCTAATGAGGTGAACCAGGTTCGAATACAAGTAATGGCTGGTCGATACGAATTTCGCATCCTGTTGCACCGACCACAGAGCTGACGGGAAATATCCTCAGTGGTAGACGGATCATGGGTTAGAGTCCCCTTGCCGTCAGGCTAACCGTGGGAGGCTCTCGTGGTCTTCCTCCCCGTGTAACGCAAATGCGGATTGGTTGAAACAAAAAGTCCTCCAAGGCAAATTTCTCCCAATATTTGATCCAGCGGCTCCCGTGCCTTCTGGAACGATTGCAAAATTACAAGGCTACATTGTTGAACATTAGTAGTCGTAAGCCCAAGAATTGGGTCGGCTGTTCAACAACGGTTATAAAATAAAATACTTTCCATCTGTATTGCTATGTGACCTCCTTTTTTAGGGAGGAGGTTACTATAGATTTTCTTAAGATCGAAATATTTTCTCTTATCAGAAAATTACTATTCTGCGTCCTATGAGGAAAGAATTCTCATTTTCACTTACAATGCGTATTGTGCTTGACTTATTCTTACATTTTGCATAAAGAGTCTATCACATTACATAAAAGTATAAATGATAGAATCTAAAAACTGCGTCATTAAAAAATTATTTTTAGAAGGGCAAGTTACACAAACCGAGGCCGAAATTTCATTCATAATTTGCTGAAAAAATATACCATTAATATAACATCACACAAACTTTTAAAATATAATTCTTTTTGTTAAAACATTAAAGTCTTACGTTTTAAAATTGAGCTTTTTGAAAAAAAAATCCTTAACCTCAAAATATCGAATTAACAAAAATAGAAAATAGATAAAACTGACACCGACAAAAGATTTTATACAAGAATAGAAAATCTCTAGTGTAAACAGAAACATAAAATAAAGCTAAAATATCTTTACAAAAAATCTCTCCAAACATCAGTGGAGTCAAAACGGTCATGATTTATGCTTTTTAGCCAATAACTTCTAATTGCTTTGTATTTTATTTGACATAGTCGATATTTCAATCCCTATAATGACTCAAAAAACTGTCATTATCATTTCCTCCTTTTTGGAGTAACAACTTGTTCAATTACTGTAAAACAAACAACACCCTTGGAAATTTTACTCGATACATATAGCTGAACAATTCTTCTTTGGATGGTGCTTTTCTTAAAAGTGACGAAGTTAAAACTGTCTCTATGCTAAGTGTTTAGGTAAGTTGCATCAATTTAGCTATTTTTTTTATTTAATTTGAAAATTATATAAAAAGTTGAAAATTTTATTCTTGACTAAAAGGTTTTCTTATTTTTCACTTATCACAGATAGTTGCCATGACAATAGGATAATCCCTTCTTTCCATAGCGCTTTACTCAAAAGTAATTTATCTGAAACTAGAGCTAAGTTGTGTGTTTAAGTAAGTTATGATCATTTAGAATTTCTTTTTATTTAATTTATCTTATATAGATTTCCGCTAAAGTGTAAAATTAAGTTATTCTGCGGATCTGCAAAATACTTAAATAAGCCGTAGAGTGTCCAAAATAAAAACGGCCCCCTTTTTTTTCCCCTCCAGACGTGGACACGTACCCGTATAACTTTTGATCTATAGATCGCATTTTTAAAATTCGATTTCTCAAGAACTATTTGATCGATTTCGTTCAAATTTTGTATTTGGCCATTTAAATTTGTGTTCTCTAAAAAAATTCAAAAATTTGCATACCTTACAATTCAAAATTTATTTGACTATTATTAAATAAAATAACAAAATGTAATTAATATTTTTTTAATATTTTTTCTGTATGAAATTACCTTTGGATAAACAAATTTTATAATTGCGTACACAAATGTTTCAATTAACTTAAAAAGTTTTTGAGTTATGGCGAAATTTGCATAAAGTAAAATTAACACTAAGAGGTCCAATCTTTGAATCGCTCTCCTGTACAAACTATGGAGACCCTATTTCGCAGATTCCTTATATTTTTGGGGTCAAAAATCCGAATACATGTAAAAAAGGTATGTTTATTCAGAGAAAGTGCATTTTTGTGCCTGATTTCGTAACTTAAAATTTCACCTGCACTAATTAATTATCGTATTTGAGATCATGCCCTCGAGCTATTAAGATTGAGTCCTAGTACGTGAAGATCTGATCATTAGATCAAAAGTTATTCAAGATGATGCGTTTTTTATTTTACGCACGGTACATTACCTACTAGGCACTCCTTTAAGTGAAAAAAATTTATTGGCTGATACAACAGCAGTGTTTATATATTCGCTTAAATTAACATAAAGTCATTTATTTACTTTTTGCTTTTAAGTTGTCAAATTATTTGAATCATCAATCACTTTAAAACTAAAACTTTCAAAAATTCAAATTTTTTAAAGTATTATTACTAAGGCCAGGATTTTGATGACATTTACATTTTTTTGCATTTTTTGCATTTTTGGACACTTTTTGTCCTTTAGAGCGTTTTTTGAGATTTATAGGGCATTTTCTTTAAATTTTGGGGCGTATTTTGCATTTTAAAGCATTTTTAAATTTTTTGTTAATTTTTTTTCTAATTTTTATTATTTTTTATAATTTTTTATTATTACACTGGCTTTCAAACAATGAAGAAAATCTCTGGGATATTAAAAGGTGAAGCAACATCTTTTCAAATTGAGGAAGAATTGTCAGTAAGTGTGACCGTCCTTTTCAAGTACGCACCAATAACATCAGTAGACATTGAAAGAAGCTTCTTCTGGTATAAAAATTTGCTTTCAGACACGAGACGCTCGTTTACATTTCAAAATATTTAAAAAAAATTAATAATCCACTGTAATTCTGATATTTAGTAATATTATGAGATGGAAGTTGTTATATTCATTTAAGTTTCTATACAAAATGAAAATGTTTTGGAGTCAATATATTTTCCTTTTTTTTTTTATTTTAGGATATAAAACATATTTTTCAAACTTTAATGAACGTAGAACAAGTATTGCATTGCTTTATATTTTTGAAACGACTCATAATAATTTTAAAGAGTAAAACATTGTTTTAGTTCAATATTTTTACTTCTATTTAAGTCATGTCATAAGGCATTTTTAGCGCAATTTTCGTATTTTAAGGGCATTTTTTGCAGTTTGTAAGGGCAATTTTTGCACTTTTTAAGGACATTAATTGAGATTTTTTAGGTCATCAAAATCCGGGCTCTAATTATTACAATTAGAACAATTTCAGTTACTTGCTTTTTTATATCTTAGAAGTCTACTCAATACAATAGGAGAACCAGTTGATAGAATAAGAAAAATAAACTTTCAAACTTTGACGATACGAAAACTGTCAATGAAGTAGGAAAATTGCGGAAAGTCCTTGATTCCTCATTTTAAGGGATTGTCCTAATTTATCTGCATATTTAGTAGGCAATATGCATATTAACGGCCTTGGAGCTTTAGCGATTACATATATTAAGTGAACTTGCATATGCGAACAATGCTCAAAATAAAAAACGGAACATTTAAAATAACTTTCGATCCAATGTTCAGATCCTAATTCTCTCGGATTTAATCTCAAAGGTTCAAAGGAGTGATTTCAAATATACTAATTAATTAAGTAACAAAGTTTGAGAGAAATCGGACGAAAATTTCCTGAGAGATCGAAATTTTGAAATAAGACTTTAAAGTTCAATTTCTAAAAAACTATTTGACCGATTTCACTCATATTTTTTATTTTGCCATTTATAATTACATTCTTTAAAATGAAGTAAAAAATTTAATATTTCACAAATCAAAATTTTTCGATTAATATTAAATAAAATAATAAAATTTAATAAATATTTACTAAAAGTTATATTTTGCATGGAGTTATCTTTGGATGAACGAATTTTATAATTGTGTACAAAAAAATTTCAATTCGCTTAAAAAGTTCTCGATATAAGGCGAAATATGCAAAAAGTAAAATTAACGTTATAGGATCCAAACGTTGGTTCTCTCTCCTGACCAAAAACAAATTCTCCTAACTATATTTCCGAGATTGTGGCTAACGCCCATATATGCGGCAACGTTACTTTTAAAAATTAATAAGTAAAAGTACAAGTATTTTTAAAAAAAAGTAACGAGTAAAAAGTAAACAGTTCTTATTTTAAAAAGTAACGAGTAAAAAGTAAAAGTACAAGTACTAAACAAAAAAAGTAACAATTTAAAAGTACATTTCTAGGAAATCGAAAATTTAAAGTAACCTAAAATTTTATTGAATAATATTATGTTCTTTAATGTTTTGCAAAATTTTTGTTATTTATTTAATTATTTTTAATTTTGAAAGTTATGGACATTAATTTATTTTTAAATTCGGAAGAATATTATAATATAATTTTATAATATAATTGTATAATAAAATTTTAAAATCAAATATAATTTTAATATCAAACTTTTTATGGATTTGCACGAAAAGGAAATTTTATCCATTGATTTTAATTTTTAGTTTATTATTTTTATTTATTTAAATTACCATTGATTTAAAATTGTTTTACTCTATAGAAAAGCGTTTTAAAAGCACAAACATAAACAAAGCAAACACGGGGTTTCAGATCGCTTTGTGATCTTTCAGCTAGTAAAAAATAATTGAATGTGCAGTATAAGTTGAAACAGAACAGTCTACAGTTTTATTTGTAACAATGGCTATTGCTGAAGTCATGCGAGAAAATCATTTTCCGAACATTTCTGCTTGACGGAATAATTAAAATTTGTAAACGAATTTTAGTATCAGCGGCTAAATTAATATCTTCGAGTTTTCAAGAGTTAAAATAGTAATTATAATAGTTTTCAATAACACAAATAGTTCTGAAGTTCTTAGAAATTTGACTGGGCGTCGTTTGACAAGGTCGGGCATAAACATAATTTTAGTAAAAAATGTACTAGATAAAAATGTATTTAGTAAAAAATGTATTAAGACAAAAATGTATTATTAGTGAGTTCAAAAAGAAAATTGAAAAACTTAATAACAAAATCCAACATTTTTTACTTGAAATGTATTAAATAAATGCATAAAACTCGAAAATAAATGAGAATAACTTTCTAATTAATATTTTATTCATTTTGCAAAATAATTGCATTTCGAAAGTCGTGTCACTGAGTCTGTTGGGAGATTTTCTCAGAACGTGCTTAGCCACGCTGAATAAGCGCTCCACGGGAGCACTAGAAGGTACTGCAGTATTATGTTTCACATAAAATTTTTTTACGATTGGATATCGGTTCAAAATTTATATGCTTTCCGTTTCGACATTTGAGCTCATGTATGCCATAAATTCTTCTGTCTCTGTGATTGGCATGATGTTTTCAGCTTTAGAAAATTTAAAATCCCTGGGTTTTTTCTGTTAAGTTGTTAGTTGTAGCAGGGTGTTCAGCTTGGAGCTTCCTCCCTAGCTCATTCTTTCAACCAATTAAATTTGATGCAAGGTACCAGACCTGCAGCAATTAATAAATCGTCCTGCCATTTCATATCGCGAAACATTTCGCAGTTCAAAAGAGCCATCCTTTCCCTTTCAGGAATGACAATTTTAAAAGGTCAAGATATTTAAACACGAAGTTAGCTGTGAATGCATATATATTGCACATTAATTTTACAAATTAAAAAAACATAAGCATTTTTTTTTAATTTAATTTTTTTTTAGAAAGCTATCTGAGTTTTAGAAAGAAAAATCGATTTCATTCGACATTTCCGTTACAAATACTTGTACTTTTTCCCTAAAAAAGTAGCGAAAGTACAAGTAAAAGAACTAAATTTAAAAAGTAACGAAGTACAAGTAAAAGTACGTACTTTTTACTTGTACCGGCGGTACAAGCAACGAAAATAAAAGTACTGCCATATATGCTGACGCCTATAGTTTGAGGGTCAAAAATCCAAATCTTTTGAAAGAACTGCATGTTTATACAGAGAAAGTACGTATTAGTTTTTTAACTTAATACAAAACAAATGAAATAAAATAAAAATATGACCACCGAAGCCGACGTCTTCAGGGGGTACCGGCCCCGGTAGCCATTAAAAACAAAACCATTTCTATTTGAGGGAGAAGCAAAAGCTTAAAATATCTCCCTCAGTACCCCGATGGTTTTGTATAGAGGTCCAGGAAAAACAAGATACATTCAAAAGAATAAACAAATTACGAAAAGAAAATCAATAAAAATCATCAGAAAATTAAAAACTCACAGTCACAGTCACAGGAAAATAACAAATAATTAATAATAACAATAATTATACATTTTACATTTGCAGAAGCATGATAGTTTTTCGACTGCTATTAATTAAATAAATATCTGTAAATTGATCTGAAATCAAAACAAAGTGATTTTTCAAAGCTAAAGTGTAAGAGGACGAAATATTTTTTTAAGTTGACATCTAATTTCATATCTTTTTTTTTAATTTAAAGTTTAGTGAAAGAGAATTCTATTTTCTCTGTTGTCTAAATTCTATTCTTCATTGTTGTCTGAAGCCAATTTTCCTCTAAAAGTTGGTTTAATCACTCTCTTTCTTATACTTGGTTTCTATGTTTATTTTATTATATTTATTTTTTGGCCAACCCAATTCTAAGTTTTCGGCTATCAATACTTAACTCCACAGCCTAGTAATTCTGAAAGCTCAAACGACAAGGCAACTCCTTGATCACGCTTTGGGACAAGTTAGCCTTCATGGAGGACTTTTTGATTGGAATTAACCTGCATTTGCTTTACATGAAAAGGAAAACCTCCCACAGTTAGCCCGACTTCACGGCGATTTTATTTTATTTTATAACCGTCGTAGCCGACCTAAATTTTGAATTTACGACTACCAATTTTCAACTCCATAGGCTTGTAATTTACAACTCAATCCTGAAAACAAGAGAGCTCCTGGATCAGTACCCCCAGAGGTATCTATTTGTTATTGGAACTTGGAGAACTTTGTGATCCCGACAGATTTAGCGTGCACCTATTAACATTTAATTCACGGGGATTCTTCAGTCGGCTGGAATCGAACTCAAATGCCCTACCAACCGAGCTATTAACCCATTATCCATCTACCACAGAGGATATTTTATGGCAGCACTGTAATCAGTGCGAACGGAAAGTAGAATTTGATCAGCCAAAGCTAGGGATTTGAACCTGGGACACCTCATTGGGAAGTCAGTCCTCTAGTCCCAGAGCACGTTGCTTTCATTGTTTTCCTCACCATGTAACTCAAATGCGGGTAAGTTGTATTAAGAAGTCCTTCACGAAGAGTAATTTATCCCAATGCTTGTTTCACGAATTCCCTTATCTTATGGATTGGGTTCAAAATTACAAGGCTTCGAAATTGAACATTAATAGTCGCAAACGTAATAAACAGGTCGGATGTTCAACGCGGGATGCGAAATATCAAAGAAAATATAGAGTTTCAATTCATTTTTTTTAATTACTGAAAAATTAGATTCTTACATTGATTTTAATGATTTTTAATTAAAATGGAAGGTAATATTGCCATAGTAGCGATTTTTTAAGATGTTTAATAATTCCTAGGAAATATTTAAGCCTTCTGCTCATTTTGAAGAATGGTTAGTTCTTTACTGCACAAAAATGTTAAAGCCTTTATTTTTATTCCTTTTTGCGCAAGAGATTTGGAGTAAATCCTAAGAGAAAATTCTATTTTGTGTTTCATGTATATTGTTTCATTTCGGTAGAATGTTTTTGTAAATTTTCGAAGATTCGCTTTTATTAATTTTATTTAAATAAACGCTAAGTATTTTTGAAAATATTTAAAATAATCAATCATGTATTTCATGGCATTTACATGACCTAAATATCTTTGTCTTATTTTAATGTGTCTATCTCATATGCGATTTTTAAAAAAATATATGTATTTTTAGGTTTTTCAGGAAGAATGCATCTTCAAAAATCTACCATCCTGCAAATGATGGAAATTGCACTCTTAAGTGTAGCAATTTTCCCATATTGCTTTAGTAAGGTATGTTTTCTTCATTTTTTAGAGGATTTTCTTTTTTCAAAAGTCGATCTTTCAATCAAACATTGAGATTGTTTAAATATTGGAGAAGGGAAACAATATTGCACTTGAATGTGGCAGAATAGCAGCGAAACGGTGACTTTGTCGCAAAACGTTACAGAGTTCTAACAGAAAGATTTCTCTTTTAAAAAAGTAAAAAAAATTTAGTTCTCAGTTTTACAGAAATTTGCGCGTAATATTTGAATCATGCATTTAGATAATCACTCTTTTCACGAGTTCAATTTACGCCGATAATGTCGTAAATCGATGTAATGTTTCTGTTGAATTTTCGGCAGTTATTGAAATTGATTTCTACGCGATCTTTAAGTATCCCGGTACATTTCAAATAATATTAAAATTCAAATCATTTGAGTATTTAGTTTTTAGGGCAACAATTTTGTCGAATTTTTGGCAGTTACTGCAATTTTTTTTCTCCATAGTTTTTAAATCCGTAATTTTTAATACGATATTACGATATACGATATTACGATATACGATATACGATATTACGATATACGATATTACGATATTACGATATTACGATATTACGATATACGATATACGATATTACGATATTACGATATACGATATTACGATATACGATATTACGATATACGATATTACGATATACAATATTACGATATACGATATTACGAAAAACGATATTACGATATACGATATTACAATATACGATATTACGATATACGATATTTAATACTATATTACGATATACGATATTTAATACGATATTACGATAAACGATATTTAATACGATATTACGATATACGATATTTAATACGATATTACGATATACGATATTTAATGCGATATTACAACAACCTTATCTAGAAACGAAACACACATTTGAGTAACCCTTGAGGAGTCCGATTCGCGTGATTTCGTCGTCGATCGTTTTTTCGGCAACGGATTTCATGATTTTTAGTTAATATTCATTGTTATGATTATTTACGAAATTCGAGAATATCACTCATAATATTAGAATAAAAAATTATTACATGTTCAATTAAAAAAATTTCAATAGTTTTTTTTTTTTGTTATTTGTTATTATTAAAAGTATCTCGCAGAAAGATATTAGTGCTAGAGAGTTTTGTCAAAAAATTCTGAAACAGGGATAGCACTTCAATGTGGTATTTTCACACCATCTCTACAAAATATTAGAAAAATAAAGATTTATAAACAGCGATTCTTTTTCAAATCTTGGTATCAGTTTTTTTTTATTGTTTTTCAAAATTATACCGATTGTCCTAGTTACTACATTTTGTACACCTGTCGCTTTTGTAAAATTTGGAATTGAACGTCTATTTCCGAGCGCTCGTAAAATTTTTATTTTAATTCATATTTTCTGAAGCTAATGAAGTTTTTATATTATTAAGTATTAACTGTTATGGTTGGATATTGCAAATTTTATCCTGTACACTTCACGGATAAAAGAATAGTAAAACAAAATGAGTCACAATACAAAGGAATTTTTATATATTTATTGGCCAAATAGTTAAAAAAAAATTTATTTCTACAATGCATAGTCATATTGCAAAACATTTTTCCATTATTTAACTTTTTATTTTTGTTTTCATACTTATTTGCTTTTTTTGTTGGAGACAAGGGGCGACATCACGCCGACAATTTTTAATTTTTATATATTTTTTTGGTCAATTTTTTAGTCTATTCTTTTTATAGAGCACAGAGCAATTGTCAGAACATGACTTTTTTTTTTACTTTGTAGAAGCACGTGAAATATGCTTTTCAATTTCTTTCTGAATATTTCATTAAAATTTTTCTGAATATTTTATATCTTTATTGGAGCTGCTTGGTGACCACAATTTTTCTCTTGATACATCTCTTTTTCTATTCTTTTTCATCTTCACTGTTTTTATAGAATTGTTAGAAGCGCATGGTACATTAGTTTCTCTCCTTTTCGGTATAGGTAAAAAAATACCTATAGCTGTTCTACTCTTATACTATTAGCTGATTTCCTTTAAAGGTTGGGTATACAGCTACCATCAACGGTATAATACTACCTACAACCTTTACAAAATCTATTTTTAAAATTTTGAGAAAACGTAGTAATAAGTACAATTCCTGTACATTGTTGCTTCAAATCATTTTTTTCCTATGTTTCCGTAGAAACATATGCATGAGATAAGTTTCAGTTGCTGTTTAAAATTTAGCACATGGGTTGTATTTGCTTTGAAAGAAATTTCCAGAATAGTTTTTTGATTTTCTTATTCTTCTTGAATTTTTAAACCTCTACCATCCATGTTTTAAGCATCCGACATCTATTGAAGTTATTGTCTTTAAATGCAACATTTAGTTAGTTTTGTTCTATATTAATTTTGTTCTTATATTGCTCCTGCGCAAAAACATATGGATATCTGCATGGAAATTTAGCATAGTACATTTAAACGAAAAGTAAACTGATAAATTGCAGAATTGGAAGAAAAGAAAAACACTTAAAAAAAACTTAATTTCCGCGTTTTTGCGACGGATGTTTTGTATCCTTTGATTTTTTTGGTCTAAGTCCTTTTTTTATGAGTCGCCATTTCCTCTTGAAAAAGTTCTTCTTAGGTGGTTTGGATTTTTCCACACTTGGTTCGTCATCCTTCACTCTTAATGGTTCGTTGTCATCAAAGTCCTTCAATATCTCAACACGAGAGTTCTCTTGGTTATTAGAAGCTCTTCCCTCGCTAAGGTGTAGTTCTAACGGGGTGAGCTGTGAAACATTGCTGATGTCAGATGAATTTTCATGTTTCATTTCGCCAGAGTTGATCTTATTGCCAATGTTCAGTTGGTTAACACTAGCTTTTCCATCCATTTGTTCAGAGGACAATTGAGGAATATTGCAGTTGTTTGTCGCATTTTCTTCACTTTCAAATTCTGTGGGCTCATCAGAGTTGGTGTTATTCTCTGTGTCCATTTCATTAGTATGCTTAACTCTTCCCTGACTCACTTCCTTCCGGATCAGGGCGAGCAGTGAAAGAAAGTAGATGTTAGGTTTGTTTTCCTCACGTCCAATTTCTTTGGTTATGTCAGAGTTGGTGTTGTTTTCTGAATTCTTGTGATTTACAAAGTAAACCTTTTCCTCAGTCAGATCTATTCGAATTTGGGAGAGCTGTGAAAAATCGCTGATGTTAAGCGCATTTTCAACAATCTCCTTTCCCTTGGATTCATCAATGTTGATCTGAGAAGGATTACAGTTGTCAAGTTTAATTTTGTCTGTCTCAATCTGGTTCTTTTTATTCTCTTCATTAACTCTTCCCTCATTTAATGCTGTTTGTAATGGGGCGAGCTGCGAAACACTGCAGATATTGGGAGCATTTCTTTCAAGTTCCATTTCTAATTCATCCTCTATAGTAGTCATTTGATTGGTATAAACTCTTCCCTGGCTCAATTCTGTTTTATGCGGGGTGAGCTCTAAAGTGTTGCAGATGGTGATTGCAGATGGTGATGTTGATTCTAGATCCGTCTGGATCGCTTTATCCACTTGATTGTTCAGAACTCTTCATCCGCTGATGTTCTGCGTTGGCCGGGTGAGTTGAGAAAAGTTGTCATTGTCCACTGTTTTTTTGGATTTCTTCCTTTTTATGCTAAAATAATTGTTAAAGTAAACAAGTAAACTTGTTAGTTTGGATGTAAAATAAAAATAAAAATTTTCTTCAAAATTTTAAGTAAAGATAGACAAATCTTTCTTACGTTCGCAAATTAGCTTAATCTCAATTTTCCTTTCTTTTTGTTATGTATAATGTTCAAAATTTTTGTCTCTGTATGGGCTAATTGAAATCTAAAAAAAAAAAACACACACAATTTTTTTTCAAAATCGATTTCGTATTAGTACTTTTTATGGAACAAATCTGATCTCGCATGGTTTTTCCAGACGAGTTAAGTACCGTTAATGTCTACGAAATTGACACTTCTTCAGAGTTTAAATCTCCACTTTAAATAAACACTTTCTTCTTTTTGACTTTTTACCGTTATTTTTACTAATCTAAAAAGTCTTTTAATTTATCATATTTTTCGCTCGATAAATGGAATAGTGTAATGATATTTTTTCTCCTAATTGATTCATTAATACTTAGTAATAACAATTAAGGTATTTATTATAGCAACTAACAAAAAAAAAGAAATTTTAAAATTTGAGTTAATATTGATAATAAAAACTGATTACACTATCTTTACTGAAATCAATAAAGTTTATATTTAAACTTTATTGATTTCAGTAAAGCCTTTGATTTATTTAAGAGACAGAAATTATGGGAAATTTTATCACTTTATAATATACCAGATTAACGTAATCAAACATATGTATGATAACAGCAAAGCATGTATAGAAATAAGTGGAGAATTAACTGAATTCTTTTTGGTAAAAACTGGCGTGAGACTGGGATGTGTTTTATCAGGATTTTTATTTATACTGGTGATAGATTGGATTATGCGAAACATCTTGAAAGATGAAAAAAGAGGAATAAGGTGGAATTTCACAACTACTTTAGAAGACCTTGATTTTGCTGATGATATCGTACTTTTTTCATCCAAATGTACAGACCTTCAGCTTAAAACAGACAAATTCAACAAATATTCAAATAGTGTAGGTTTATTCATAAACAAGAAGAAAACTAAAGTAAAGGGAATAAATCGAAAGAAAAATGTCAAAATTAAAATTGAAAATCACGAAATAGAGGACATAGAGTCATTTAGCTATTTAGGTTCTATTGTAGATAAAAAAATAAAAAAAAGGTGGAAGTAGTGAAGATATTAGACAGAGAATAATCAAAGCAAGAACATGTTTTAAGGGATTACATAAATTTTGGAGAGAGTCAAATATTGAAATAAAGACAAATATAGTTGTTTACAAAGCTATTGTTAGAGCAGTACTATTATATGAAGCAGAAATCTGGAAACAGACTAAGTTCGAATGAGGAATATCTGGCTGGGAGGAAGCAAGATCT